AAAAAACCAGGATCCAGCATTGAGTCTCTTCAGTTTAGTCCAAGAGAAGTCACTGCTGTGGCCTGTGATCAGGACATCTGTGGTCCTGCTCAGGTGCTCATCATGCATGAGAAAGGGGACCCCATCAGAGCTGAGGGTATAAGGCATGTCAGAGAGACAAACTCTCAGGCTAATAGTCATTTCCTGCATTCTCTTGCTGTGTCTCAGTCCCTTCAGGCTGATTGGAGGCAATCCCATCTCCCTCACCTGACCATCACATCTGTCTCAAACACAGCAGCTCCACATTCTACTGTCTTCCTCAAGGACACCAGGATATTCTCAGGGGACACCTGGGAAAAGGGAGGTAGTAGGGAAGGGTGAGAGCCTGGGAAACCATAGGCCTGACTGCTGCAGTCTAGAAGAACAGATGTCTGCCACTCTCCTAGCATTCTGCCCAATATTTACCATGGGAGCCCCTCTGTGTCCCACCATCCCAGGCTTGAGGGGTGAGTCTCTGGGTTCCATGATGCAGGGTGAGGAGATACATAGGTGGACCAGGTAGATGGCCAGAGCAACTCCATAAAATAGGAGCAGTAGCAAAATCCTGGGACCTGTGGAGAGTGTGGGACAGGCTATGGAGAAAGGGCAATGCAAGGGAAGGAAACATGGGTGACAGGAGGCAGAAACATGGGCAGCCAGTGAAGACTTGTGGGGAAATGGGAAAGTACGTCTTTCATGGATGCAGTAGAAGGTATCATCCACAGACAAGGCCAGGAGAGTGATTCCAGCCACTGCTCCATTGTGAAGGAATGGGGGTATGGCTTGTGGGCAAGAGTTAGTAAAAACGGACCTTCTTTCTAGTGTTCCTTCCTTCTCCTGTTTGGAGTTCAGAGCTTCCCGCAGTCTTGGAAGACTGGGAAGTAATATAAATACCAAGGTTGGCCATAGGCAAAGCCTCCCACCTGGACATTAGAGACCAGCTACTTACCTGTAGAGACAGACATAAACTATGCCATTCCTGCTGCCATTGGATGGATGTCCAATATTACAAGGCCAAAGGCCACAAGAAGTATAATGAGCATTACCAGAACCTGAGGGACCAGGGATAAGTAGAACCTTTTCTATTAGCTTGGGCTCAGATAATTATGTGCTTCCTCACTCTATGGAGACAAGACTCTTCCCTTCATTTAACTCATCCATTGTCGATTCACTTAATATATATTTACGGGACTTCAAGTCTTGGGTTAAACTCTGCAGTTATCATGGTGAAGTCACTGGCAAGTAAATAGCCAGTTAATCCCTGGGCATCCAATGGCTCCTTCTCCCACTGGCCCCCAATTTGAATATACCTTGTGGAGACTGTGCAGATGCAGAGGTTGTCCATAGAGTTGTAGGATCAAGGCCAGGATCTGGGGGCTGAGAGTAACTGGAGTAATCATGTGCCAAGGGAAGGAAAGCTCATTGTCATAGGCTTCAAAGGTCAACATCTCTCTTTCATACAAAAATTTAGTTCCTTCCCACTAACTCTAACTAATAAGAGCTGAGCAGAAAGGAAAGGTTGAGCTAGGGATTTAGGCCAGTTGCCCTTGGACCCACCAATAGCAGGGATGCATATGTGACCAGTAGAGAGATGACCAGAGACTAGTCCATCCAGTGTCCTCCTCAGTGGTGTAATAATAATCTGTGGGATAGATGAGAGAACTGTCTAAGCTGGGGAAGGTCTGTCAATAATGACTTGAAGGAAGTTGGCAGGTGAACCTAGAAGGACTAGGAGTGATGGGAAAGCCTTTCATGGGTTCAGGGGCTCCAAAGATGGGGGAGACTTTGTGGAAAGATTTTCTAGGGTAGTTAAGGGGCTTGAGAGACCTGGTAGGGCTGAAGGATAACTGGTGATAGGAGCTGAGCATCCAGAGGGTCCTAGTGTGGACATAAGAGTAACATATATGCTGAGGATGAAGAATCCATGACACAGTCATTAAAGCTGTGCAGATCATTGAGAAGAATGAGCGCAATGTACAGCCAACCCGGGGTGAGCAGGAAGGTGAGAAAGAGCAGGCCAAACCAAATATACTGTAAAGGAGTAAAAGAGAAGCTCACAGGCAATCTATGTTTTCAAGTTTAAAATTTCTTATTCATGGCAGCTTAAGAGGTCTTCCTACCATGCATTGAGTTGCTCTGTTTTGGGGTAGTCCTTTCCATATTTGTGGGAGTTTTATTTTAATTTTTATTGTGTAAAACATGTATGGGGATACAAGGGAGTTATGGTTGGGAGCAGAAGAGTGAGGATGGGCAGGGATGAAACCAAAGGGCTGCACAATTTGGTGGGTAGGGGGTTGGGTGGGCGAAGGAAATGTGAAAGATCCAGGGACCAGAAGAGACAGGGTAATGGTAAGGATAGTCCAATGGAGATCAATTATTATTATTATTATTTTTTTTTAACAAAGAAATTGTCTCATTCACTTGTGGATTTCTCATTTGGGAATGGGATGCAGACTCTCTGGCTTCATCATGCTTAACAGGGGCGTTGATGTGAAGGGGAAGAGGGAAAGGGGAGCCCACTTTAACATCTTACTGATGGTCCTGGGTTGAAGCTGCATGCCTTCTTGTTCAGTTAGAAAATATTTTCCTGATGTTTACTGCCCTCTGGACTGCAAAGTGTTTGCCAAGGTGGGTCCAGGGGGGATGGCTGGCTGAGCCCTGAGGCTCCATCCTCCTATGCTTCCTTAGCTGGCAGTTATATTTCCCTTTTGTGTCTGGAACTGGGTTCAGCTCTACCGTGATGGTTGGCATCCTTTCTTTGGGGGATTTTCTCCAGTGGAAGCTTTACAGGCAGTTGAAGCATTGGGCCCAGATGGAGCAGCAGCTGGGAAACTCAGCCATGATGGTGAAGACCTAGGGTAAGGGATACTCAGTCATCAGGGAACCTTGCAGAAGGCAGATCCCAGCCTCCTTCTCAATGTATCTGAAGATTCCAAGGAAGGAGCAGAGGCATGGACCAGTGCTCAACAATGGAGGTTAAGGAACAGACCCAGATTGCTGAATTGGGTGAGATAAACACTCAGGCTCAAAGCCTGGTACAGGTAGACAATATCCATGGTCTCTTCCCCTTTAATTTTAATGTATAATCAGTGGGACACCAGGAAGCATATATCCCTTCTCTGCAAATCCTCCCTATCAAGCACTAGTGGTGGAGTTCTTGTTATGAGTTGGGGTGGGGTGTGTGGAATGGAGGATTAAACTCAATTTAGCAAATTGACGCATAGCTGGCCAAACTTGAAGCACCTCCATGATGGAATTATGAGTAATCAGAAGGCTCCAGTTCTGACCTGAGACTAAAGGAGGCCCAGCTCTTTGGCCGGTTGCTATGGATAGATTACATACATCTTAAAGCCCATACTCAAAGATTTCTCTATCTTTAGTTCTCAAGGGGTCTGGAGTCCAACCAATAAGAGAAAGACTTGAGTGGAACAAGTTTCCCGGGCCACTGTCCACCTTCTAAAGGAATTCCTTATCTACTTATGGGCCTGTGAAAAACCCAAACCCTCAGGCCCAGCCCTGTCCCCCCTTGTCCCCAGTAAGAGCCTAGTACCCTACTTTCTCCTTCTAGGACCTTGTCCTCTGAATTAGTTCCAGTGAAAGTACAGGGTACGTGTGCTAGAGGTGTGATTGTTTTAGGGCAGGAAATTCCTGTACCTTGTGTTTTTGTGTCCAAGATGGCTGATTTACTAATTCCCAAACTGGCCTGCACAATTGTGATTCTACATGAGAGGTTGCATATAATTATGTGTATGTGCACAAACAGCTGTTAGTACAAATTTGCCTCAATTTGCTCAGTGATTTTGAGTATGCAAAGAAACCCCTGGATATATCCAATGAGCAAATGTGTGTGTATGTAGGGTCCTAAGGAAAACAACTTCTTATTCTCTAAGCTACCCTATGGAGCTGGGCCCCTGAAAGAAATAAGTGTGTGGTGGGCACCAAATTGCTCTGGAAACATTTCTTCTAATCCATTGCTCACTTTGGGAAAGGAGAATTAGAGCAGAGGGTGGAGACATAGTGGGGTTTGAGATGGAGAGGGAGTTGAGGGAATAAAAACTTCTTCCCTTTCAGGAAAAAGTAATTCCAAAGGGCAGTCTCTAACTCTTCCCATCCCAAAACTGGTTTGCTGTAGCCTACCCTGGGTTCTAGTCTGCATCTATTGCTTATCCTCAGGTCTTGTCTTTGTACTTTAGACACTGCCTTCCAGAGCAACACCTACCTCCAGAAGCTATCTGCAAGAAAGGATAAGGGAGCTAAGAAGGTGTGCTTCAATCCTAGGTTTGGGTCACTGCTGGTTCAAGCTGGTCTCCACCTTACCTCTTCTGACTGTAACTTCTAGTTTCCCCAAGCCTTCACATCTTGCAGCAGCAGCAGCAGCAGCAGCGCTCTCCTCTGAATTGTGCTTCCCAGGTCCTCTCCAAGTCGCCAGCCTCTTCCCTTTCCAGTCCTTGACTCCACTCCACTAGTCAAACAAGTGACAGTATTGCCACCTATAGGAGGCTGTGGGGGTTCTCTCTGAAGTCTTGAGGCCCAGTGGGGTTGGAAGATGGGAGAAAGGAAGAATGAGGGAGAGTAGAGTTGTTTTTTCACTGGCTGGCAGTCAGGGGTTTGGTATGAGGAATTCTTTTGTGCAGCCTTCCCCATCCCTCCTCCTGTTCACTGCCAAGATCTGTCCCAGTTTAGTGAGTTCAGACACTGAGAAGTTGGAAGCTGTGTGTGCATGTGTGTGTGTGTGTTAGACTCAAGTTCCATGGGAATATGTAGCCTTGAGTCAACAGTTTTCCTTCTGTCTTGGGCTCCTACTTCGCCCTTTCCAAGGTACATTTATTAGAGATGAAGTTGCAAACTACTTCCTTAATTCTGTCATTGTGCATCCTAGATGGCAATAGCAGCTCTTCCCTTCCCTCATCACCCTAAATGGGAGATACCATTAAGGACACATTGAAACAAGTCGAGTCCAGAAGGCTTCTAAAATCTCTTTCCACAGATAATGCCTAATCATATATTCCTTTTAAACAGTTGTTTCCTTCATCTGTTCCAGGAGAATGTGCAACAGTGAATGAATAAAAATCAACTTTTCTGTAAACTTTTGTTAAAATCACAATAATTTTTAAAAAAATGTCCTGGGGGGGGAATAAAATATCTTCCCAATATTTATTTGTTATTCGGGTAACACAGTTTTGGAAGCTGATTTAAGTGGGCCTGGATACATACAAAAAGTGCTGTTACCACACCATCTGCAGGAGAGGGCTGGCTGAAAAACTGTATAGTCAGTTTTGCTGTAATGTAGAGTTCTTGGGATGAAATAGAGGCTGGCCTGATTTCTTTTTTTTTCCTCTATCTTTTGGTTAATACAGTGCCTCAAAGTCTGGAGTCTAGCACAGTACTGGTGGGAAAGGACGTCTTCTTTGGGGACAAGCCAGTTTACCCCTCCTCCACCTGCACTGGATGTCCAACAGTGAGAAAGAAGATAGGCTCTCTGATGCCAACAGCCTGTCCCCCTCCTTCTCTGCTCTCCGATTGTATCAGGAAGTTCTATTTGAGCAATGACAAAAACTTGCTTAGTCCCTCTGCCTTAGAATGCAAAGAGAAGCAGGGATGCTTGCTGGTAGGAGGCCAGAGAGGGCTGTTGGTCACCTAGTTCTTCTTCTAGCTTCTTTCTAGGCACATTGTTACTCAATTTCCTTTGCTAGGGTTTGATGGATTCTAGAGTAGTCTTGGCTTTAGTGAGCTGAGTTCATGGGAGTGGTTCAGGAGGGTTTCTTGTTGTTTTTTATTTGCCTGGAGTGGTGCAAAGGAGTTGGGATTCATAATATAAGGATACCAACTCCAGGACTTGAGAAGTTTTCAAAAGGACTACAAGGTCAGTCAACAGCTACATATTGCGTTTCAGGATGGGCCCCTTTTATCTTTAAACATAGATGGAGAACCTTAATGCATAGTAAGGAATAAGCCATACCCCTCCTTTTCAGAGAAAGCAAGCATTGCTTTTTTTCCTAGGATCTGACAGCAGAGTGAGCCTATTCTATACCAAGAAGTCAGGCTTCAGGGTTGCTGCTTTAGTTATAAGATTTAAATCAGGCTTCAAGTTCTAGCTCTATTACTAACTCAGTGACCTGAGATATGTGGCTTAACATGCATACTGTCTGCTATCTAAAAGATCTCAACTCATAATTACCCTCCATTAAGTTTCTGAGGTTGTAAATCCTTACAGGAGACTGCCCATGTTTCTCCCATGAATCTGCTGGTGGATTCACACAGCAGACCTTTTGGCTAGCAACTGGAAATTTGACTCATTATCCCAGCAGGGTTCTTTTCTTAATTGATGTTTCTTACTCCCAGATCTGGAGGCTAGGCAAGTTCTATAATGGATGGAAGTCAGGTAACTGGCCTTGCTAGCTTAATTCCAATTACCTAGGGTAGCAAAATAACATAAAAACATAACACAACACCATGTTCTACATTACTCTCTATGAAAGAGGGCAGCTACAAAAACACAGGGAGGTAAAAAACCCCCAACGAAACACAAAACCAAAAACCCCCCAAACAACAAAACGCATACAAACATAGGGAGGCTCAGATACTTGCAGTGAATTTCTTTAACAGCTTTCTAAGGAGTTAATAAAGGTTGGAAGGGTAGTTCTCAATCTAGCATAGAAAGATCGTGCTGATCATTTAACAGACTCAATTTTATTTATTTATTTAACATTTAAAAATATTTCATTTACCTCAGGGACATAGAAAACAATCGAAGGTACTGTTAAAAAACATGAAATCTAAAGAAGATAAGGGCAGGAAAAATTCTAACTGATTCTGAAGATGGGGTGGGGTCCCAAGTGAGGCTCCCATCCTAGGACAGGCTACTCCATTATGCTGAGACAACATGGAATAAGAAAGTTTCAGCATCATTTGCATTAGGAGACAAGATTAACTGCTTATGGAAGAGCAAGCTAGACTGAACTGGAAAATGATTCCCGGTAAGTCATTAGAAAGGTCAGTTAGTTCAATAGGTGGCTTAGCATCCTTCTGGAGAAGACTGAGTAGTCTGATGTTGGAAAAATAGAGACAGAGTTAATAGCAAAAAAAAAATTCTCTCCTGTTCAATAGCACACTATCCTTCTTTTAACAGCAAGAAAACAGAAATACAGAGGAGTCTTCACAAAATCCTTTCCAGCTGCAATCTGAAAGCATCTTCCAAGTAAGACGAGGTAGAGATGATGAGTCACACTTCAGTGGTTCTCTTCTACAATAGGGGAGCAGCCAGAGAAGAAGCTGGTATTGCTGGTCAAAGTTCGTTTCTTTTTCTTTCCTGGGGCCTTATTTTCTTGGGATTCTGTTAGTATATGTTTTGACTTTGGGAAGTGAAGAGAGGAGGGAGCTGGAGTTATCTTCTTTAACAGTACTTGCTCCACATCACACATCTCTTTCAGGATCTAGAGAGGGTGGAAACAAGGTATGAATAGATCTCTGGTAGAAGCAGAAGCTCAACCCAGCCCAGCTACACACCAAGTAGTATGAGGTGTCCCTTAAGACAGCTGTATGGGCGGGGGGGTGGGGGAAGTGCCTACCTTCTCCCCAACCCCATTCTTTGCCAGAAATGCTAGACACAGAAATGAACACTAATGCAGTTAGAAAGTGCCACTTACCTTGCTGTTGGGAGTAGCACAAACAGGATTGAAGAAGCTCAATCCTGGAGTCACCTCTGTGGGATCTTCCAGTTTGAAGGAGCCTTCAGAGTCCTGGGTTCGCTCAGCAGTGCCCAAGCTAGTCTGATAATCAGGCAGAAAGGCATATTTTTAAGTTAGCTATCATTGCAATCACTTGCTATGCATTGGAGAGCTGGACAATGACTAGGGATGCTAGAACGAGAATTGATGCCTTTGAGCTGTGGTGTTGGAGAAGAGTATTGAATATACCATGGACTGCTGGGAAAACAAACAGGTTTGTCCTGGAGAGGGTGAAGCCAGGCTGCTCCTTGGAGGCAAAGATTCTGAAGTTTCGTCTGACATACTTTGGACATGTTACAAGGAGGGACAAGTCCTTGGAGAGGGACGTCATGCTTGGGACTGTGGAGGGACACCGCCAAGAGAGGAAGACCCTCGATGAGATGGATTGATTCAGTGACTGGGGTAATGGGGGCAGGTGTGTCGGAGATGGTGAGATTGGCACAGGATAGGGCAGAGTTTAGGGCTGTTGTACATAGGGTCACTATGAGTTGCAGGCGACTCGACAGCACATAACAACAACAACAAGGCTATAAAATTATTCTCCTTTAATTAGTAAAGTATTAGTTCTGAGGGCCTGATTAGTCAGTCTAAGCAAGATTTAAGGAAACTACTCGAGGAGCATGTGTCACTTAACAGGCTTTCTCTCTGAAAGGATGAAGTAAGGCTTAGAGGTAGCCTCTGAAAAATAACGAATGGTTAGGCTAGCAGTACAGGATATTTCACAAAGTGAGGTTTAAAATAAAACCAAGCCTTACCATTTTTTCCCTTTCTAATCCACAATACTTTGGGCATATTGCTAGGAGGGACTATTCCTTGGAGAGGGACATGATGCTTGGAAAAGTGGAGGGTCAGCGAAGGAGAGGAAGAACCTAGACCAGGTTGATTGAAATAGTGACTGCTGCAGTGGGCTCTAATGTGTCAGGAAATTTGAAGATGGCACAGGATAGGACAGGGTTCTGATTTGTTGTTCACAGGGTCACTATGAGTTATACTCAACTCGGTGGCACCTAACAACAACAACAATCCACAGTGTCCTTCCTAGCATCTCTACAGGATGTTTGTTACCTTTCCTTTCAGATAAGAAAACTGAAGCCAAGAGAGAGACATTACTTAGTTAATGAGGTGATTTTGTAATGTCATATAGACAGTACTAGAGGAAGAATCAAGAAACCTGATGTTTAATCTTAACTGTCACATACAAGACATTTAAGCTTATCTCTGGACCTTGCTTTTCTTCTCTGAAAAATGGAAGCATTGGACTTGATCAGTCCAATAAAATATTTGTACAAATGAAATCTTAAGAGACAGTTCAAGTAAACAAATAGCAAAGGAAGCTGAAATGGGGTAAAATCTAATGCAGATAATTTCCTTCAACCCAAAGAACTTCTGGATATCTACCAGAGAACTCTAGAACTCAATTTGAAAAACTATTGAAATTCAGAAACCTTAAGGTCTCTGCTATTTCATCAATTCATACTTCGACCTCTAGCTTATCACTGATGCCTATCTATCTTAGAAGTCTTTAATAGAACACTCAGGGCAAAATTTCACATGTAGATGTTAAAAATGCATTACATATGATCATTAAAAGACACTGGAGAGCTACATCAATGAGTCATGGCTTTTGTCATGGGCACAAGTACAGTCAAGCTAAAGGGTTTAAACTGCTTGGTGCTGCTTTTCTTAGGGCACATTTTGTTTCCCTGAGTTTAATGTTCCTGGGAGCATTGTAAGGAAGATAGCTGCTGTTAGACTCGCTCACAATAATGACTGTTTCCAAGGGAAAATGTCTTAACATGCCAGAAGGATTAACTACCTTTCTGGAAGCTGCTACTTTGGTATGTGCCTTTTCTAGTCATAGCTAAGCCTTTGAACTAGGTTTATCCTGCATGTCTATCTGCTTGTAGATGCTTGTGTTTTAGGTTTTCTTGCCTCTGAAACTGTCAAGTCTGAGGATGGGGAGTCATTTAGACAAGGTAATTAGCTATGTTCTTGGGAATCTTCTGAGAAGGCTACAGGTTCTGACAGTGGTGTGTGGAAAGGTTAACAGTGAAGAAAAAATGAGAAATGAAAATGCTTCTGTTTCTGGGTGCAAAGAGAAGGAAGAATTGTGTTGGAGACTCCATGTTTCAAGATGAAAGGCAAAAAAAAGGGGCAGAAGCTAGTAGGAGGTTTGCAGTTTAGAAAGAAGCAATGGTATTGATCTTACCTTGTCTTGCTTGCGGTTCCTACACTTTGTGGAGTCACAGCTACAGTCCATGCCACAGTCTGACTTTTGTTTCCTGCACCCACACTGCTTGTTCCCACACCAGCCTTTACAGGAACACTGAAAAATAATATTGTATAGACACATTATGAAGGGGTTAGAAAATGAGTTACAAGTGCCTCCCTTTATTTTTAAGCCTTTCCAGAAAAAATTGAAAGTGCCATCATCTTTATAAAATTTCTGTCTCCTCAGTCCTCTCTTCTTTAGTGAAGCAATGATTATGAAGAACCACTCACTATAGATTTATTAAGCATAAGTCATACCAGCTAATCCATGTTCTTTTTTAGATAGTGTATGTATACAGGCATATCAGAGGGATGACATAATAATGTAAAGCAACTGACAAAGACTGTCATGACAATATTATGGAAAAAATTAAAAACTACATGCAAGATGGTAGTATCTAACTAAAAAAAATGCACCATTTTCTAGTAGATTCTGACACATAGTAATCATTATTGAGTTTCTGAGGCTGTAAATTTTTGAGAAAAACTGTCATCTTTCTCCCAAGGAGTGGCTGGTGAATTTGAACCACCAACTTAGCCCAACTTATGTCCCTAGGGCTTGTTAAGATGGTAGTATAGTTGTTATGCAATCTTGGAGCTGTGAAGGCCTCAGCCTAGGAACAGGACTTCTAAACCACAACGATGGCTGGAGACCAATTTGTGCAAGGCCAATTTTGCTGGCTATCGATGAGGTCTCCATAGCCAGAGGGAATTAAAAGTGTTTAGACAAGAAATGTGTTTAAAAAGCAAAAATGAATACATTGACTTCTGGTGGCAAACTTTTAAACAAAACCAGAGTGATCTGGGGAAAGGTAGCTCATGAATTAGAAACAGGAACATGGTTCAGGCCAAATTTTAATGCAATCTTCCACATTGTCCATTACACACAGAATCTGTGTAAAGTTGTATCTCTTGAGGATTTAAACTTATTGAAAGGCAAATAAATAAAATTACGGAATGTAAAAAATAAGCAAACAAGAAACCACTCCCTCTCTAGCGTCAACATCATTAAGACCTACCCTTGACACATGAAACTACTCCTTATGATTTTTTTAAAAATTAGCTCACAGCTTCTTCAAAATGATATTGCAGCCTCTCCCAAGTTGTTGTTGTTATGTGCCGTCGAGTCACCTGCGACTCATAGCAACCCTATGTACAACAGCCCTAAACTCTGCTCTGTCCTGTGCCAATCGTACTGTCTCTGACACTCCCACCCCAATTATCCCAGTCACTGAATCAATCCACCTCATAGAGGGCCTTCCTCTCTTGTGCCATCCCTCCACCCTACCAAGCATGATGTCCCTCTCTAAGGACCGGTCTCTCCTCACAACATGTCCAAAGTATGTTAGACGGAGCCTCAGAATCCTTG